AACAACAACAACAACAACAACAACATATAAACCTCTTGAGAGAGATAGAAGCACAAAGGGGAATTCCATATCAGTGTGCCCCTAGACTAGAACTTGCACAAGGAGTATGCAATGCCTCTTTCATACTCCACCTGTAACACTGTGTATTAGAGATGAAAGGAAAAGTATCTCCCTACTAACTTTATGAACACAAGAAAGGCCAAATCTCTGTACAAAGGCAACCCAAAAGAATCCTAGAAAAACAAATAAACAAACCCAACTTTCTTACTAGAACATGTGTCTGTTTTGTCTCTGAAATACCTAATCATGTTTCCTTCTCTTATATAAACCAATCCTAGCAAAACAGAAAAGTCCCAGCATTGATATTCCAGTAAGAGCTGATCAAAGATTACATCAAATACGTCATGGACAGATGCAAAGGTATGTCAGTGGGCAGGGATTTGCAAAGCTCTCTTTCTGGGGTATGACTTTAATCTCAATTTAAACAATGCTCCTTAATTGCAGAAATAATCCATCTGAGTAGTGCTATTTTTCTGCGCTCAAGGAAATGGTGCTTGATTTCCATACTGTGAATCTGCTCTGGAGACAGAGAATGAAATTAGCTCAGTGTGCCTGTTCCACTTGCGCATTTGAGCTTTCCACACATGCTGTTGAGACAGGCCTGCTCTGTCATCATGTCTTCAGACCTTCCTCGGTAATTAGAAACAGATCAGCTGTTAGAAACAGAATATTCCACCTGTTGGGTTCATTGCATCCTGCCCTCTAGCAAGCATACCTTCCAAGCTCCCTCCATCTGTTAAAGTAATTAATTGGGCTTTGGTTCTGAACCCTCACTAGGAATGTACAAACTTTTTCTTCACTAGGGTTATGCCCAGCATCAATTAGCAGGACGGGCTAACAGCAAGGTGGCTGTGTAACATTTTGGAATCTGCCTGAAACCATGAAACTGATCTAAGGAAGTTATTCTACATGTTTAAAACCCAGAAAGTAATGTCTCCTTACCTGATAGGGGTAGTTGTACCAACAGTGTTTTGTATTCCACAACCAGGGGGTCTGAAAAATAAGAAAGAAAACTATTTAGATGGTTTGGAAAAAAAGACAGAGTAAGATACAGTTATGATGGGCTCTTATTTCTTCCCTTTTTGGGGGGTAGATTTCCATAATATATTTTTGGATGAGTAGTAGAATTCTGAACCAAGCCCATCATGCATTCTCTCTGGATAATTTTTTAAACTTAACTGGTAATATTTCAGGCTATTTCTGGAAAGGAGTCTCAACTAGTATTGTTTTGCTTTGTTTGTTTGTGTGTTTTAGCTTTTTTTTTTTTTACACACAGATGTAATCCTGCTATGCAACCACTTCAACAGCAGAGCCTCTCAGGGTCTTAACAAGTCTAGATGCGTATCATTAATGTCACTGTTATCAATAGATATAGATGATGACTGATAGAAAATTCCCATTCATAGGCCCATGTTTAAAAAGCCATACTATTAATCAACTATATCATGACTTGATGAGGAATTAGTGAAATACTTCTTATTCCTCTAAGACAGGTCTGGCCAGTTTCAGACCTGAGTTATTTCTCTCTCAAACATATCTGACTTTCCTAACTTGTGTGTTCAAGATCTTTTGATGATAACATACTCAATTTTAATTTTAAAATAATCACTTGCTTTATAATACTGTATAACCAAACAGGCAGGTTCTAAACATTTGCAATAAACAGAAAGGGGATAAATTTAAACAAAAAGCTTAACCACCTGATAGTATTACAACATATATGATTAAGTATGAGTCTTTCATTAAGTAAGTTTCTGTTACATACCATATGTATATATTTATCTATGGCACAATGACAATACTGCAATTCAAAGATAAATGCTGGGCTGACTTCAGATATGTTTACACTGAATTAACCTTCTTCAATTGTACCAGATTCTGTAAAATCAAAAGCTGCTTCTTGAGTTCCATCAATGGTGGAATAATGCCGCTGTCTCCATGAAAGTCAAAGCACCCATAAAATGACCATTTCTATATTATCCTAATCACCCTTGTACCATAAGAGCAATGTTGTTGTTATGTGCTAGTAAGTCAAGTATAACTCATAATGACCCTCTAATAAAGGTATCTATCAGTTAATACCTGTTGAATATTCACTATATCCTAGATACTGCTAAAGGATTCAATACATATTAACTCACTGAATCACTACAGGAGTTAATAGCATTTGTTTTATTTTAAATTAGGCAAATGGAAGCACCAGTTCATAAATTACCTGCCTAAACTAAACATCCAGTAAATGGCAGAATTGGTCATCAAGGTCAGATTATCTGGTTCTAAATCCAACTTTAACCACTGTGCACCTTGTCTTTGAATCTGATGAAATGGAACTAGATGTCACCTTACGAAGCCAGACTAAAGCAGACAGTCATGTCACACTGTGAACCCTAAATGTTCCAGGATGTATATTTTCCTTTTGTTGAAGTGCTATTGTCTTTCTTTTCTTTGGATCTTTATCATTTATTACCTGTCCAGAACTGCGCATTTCTTGTAATCTCTCAGTTCTTAATTTTTTTACATGGTAGAGTTATATGTATACCCATTTTCTCCATTTTTCTTATCAATAATCTCAGTGCTTCTGATTGAATTCATATGATGAATATGAAAGGTTAAATGAGATAGGGTACTTAAAGATACACACCTGGTGGAAACAATCTATACGCTCATCTATGTATAAACAAATTGTGGTATGTACATTCAATGGAGTATTCAATTAAAAAACAATTCAACTCATTTATCAAGCCTGAACCAACCCATAGGTAATCTTCCATCAGGTTTTCAGGGACTACAAATCACATAGGAGGAGACTGTCCATCTTTCTCCCTTGAAGCAGCTGGTGGATTTGAATGATCTCCCTTTACCCAATAGACAACCAAAGTTCCCTAATGGAATATTGTTGTGGTGTTGCTGTTGACCAACTCATAGTTGACTCTCCACTGTGTTTTGAAAAATAGTAAATCTCATGGGAGGGGACTACCCAATATGTATTATGATATGGATAGATTTTGCAAACATCATGTTAACTGAAATAAGGCAGTTACAGACAGCCTACATCTATATAATCCTACTTTTAAGAAACATCTAAAAAAGGTAAATGTGTAGAAACTTGCATTTGTCAGTTGTTGCTGGGGGTAGCTGAACAGGTAGAGAACAGGTGAACTCACTGCTTGAGAAAACAGTTCTGTTAAGGGTGAGAGAAAAATTTGAAAAGATATGCTGGGATGGTTGAGCAAAAGTTATTTAATTTCACTGAACTATGCATGAAAGAATATTGAAACAACAAATATTTTGTACACATATATTTACCACAATAAAATAATTTAGGGTGCTAAAAATTAGTATTTTATTAGAAAATAAATAATTAAATTTTTATTTTATATTCTTACGGTCAGTAATTCACACCCATGGGAGAAGATGCATAAAATACAGAATGGAGAAACAAATAGAATTTTCATTTTCTTAAAACATGCTGCTCCTTAGAGGCAAGTATTCTGAAGCTTCATCTGACATACTTTGGACATGCTCTAAGGAGGGAACAGTCCTTGGAGAAGGATGTAATGCTTTCGAGGGTAGAGGGACAGTGTAGGAGAGGAAGACCCTCTATGAGGTGTCTATGAGGTGGATTGATTCAGTGACTGGGGTAATGGGGATAGTGGGTATGTTGGAGACAGTGAGATTGGCAAGGGATAGAGCAGGGTTTAGGATTGTTGTACATAGATAGGGTCGTTATGAGTCACAAGTGACTCGACGGCACATAAAAACAACAATAAGCATCACTGTTAAAATTTTGATGTATATGCCCTCTTTTGACATTTATTTATACATAAAGTAGAAATAAATACAGATAGATTTTAATTTTACTTTACACATAAATGTATACTGTAAAGTGTGGGCTGAACTAATGGAAACCTATGTTAAAGTATAGTAGAAATGCTAGTTATAGTTTTACAAACCCTCCCCCAGGTCCCCTCCACCATGTAGCCCTCGCTCTAGTCTCCTGTGATGACAGAAATACCTAGTTATATATCTCTTTTAAACAGTTTTCTCCCTCCTCTGTTTCAGTGCAGTATACATTATTGAACCCATCTTACTCAGTCTCTCCCCAACCCCAAGGACAGTCCCATTCTACAACAGTGGCATCATGTAATATTTGTCCTTTTGTGACTGGGAAAGAATCTTTTCTTTTACTTTTCCATAATTTTTGACTCATGTACTTATAACTTGTTAGTCAAATTTGTGTCTTCTAGGTTGTAACACCCCCATGATACATCTTCAAGGATATGAACATGTACGGCCAAGCACAATCAATAAGAGTGCATCTAAATTCCAAAATCAATCTCCATAATAGTCTATGTGTTTCCTACTGCCAAAGGGGCCCTTTAGAGTAGTGAGAGAAGATCTTCACCCTGAAACCCACAGCATCCCTTTTCAGCAGGAAGTAGCTAAGAGAATACGCCATCCCCTTTTCCTTATGACTCAGGGTGAAGTCTCTCTCAGGGAGGAGTGATAGGGAATGGCAAAGGACACACTGACAAAGAAGATTAATTAGAACTGGCTTTGACAAGCACTGTGGCATTTGGACAAGAAGAAACTGGGAAGAGGGTAGAGAGAATAGTGCAACAATGAATGAATGGAAACCCAAAATCTCTGTAAATGTTTATGAAAATTAATAAAATATAATTATAGAAAAAAAAAGAAATGCTAGTTATAGCCTAGCATTCCCTTTAATAAAGTTGTCCATTATTTCCACAATTAGTTGAAATTCTTTGGAAGAAAACGGTGTTATATACACGTTTATCCCTTCAGAATCATGCCCAAGGTTAAAGTTCAACATTTATTCGCTGAATACTAATGAGGACTCTGGTGGCCTGTGGTAAGGAATTGTGCTTCCAACCCAGAGAAAGTGTTTGAATGTACCAGTCACTTTCAGAGATGGGAAATCTCCTCCCGTGTGATTTCCAACCTCTGAAATTTCACTGGACAGTCAATTATGAGGCAGGACTGTTGCAATGGGCTCTTGTGTATCAGGAAGTGTGAGGATGACACAGGATAGAACAGGGTTCAGATCTTCTGTTCACAGGGTCACTATGAGTCATACTAGATGAGACCTAACAAAAACCACCACTGACTCAATGGTATGGCATATAATAACAACAGTAAGGACTACAGAATTAAATGCTACTCCTATATGCATCCTCTAAAGTTGTCATATAGCAACAAAGCGAATCCGAGCAAGTCCAAAGTAGAGACTTAGCATGTTGCTGTGCATCACTGAATTGGAATGGACCCATAACTGACCATCCATTGCTTTTCAGACACAGTAAATCACTTGGAGTTGATTGCTCATCTTTCTCCTGTGGAGCAGCTGGTGGATTTCTTGCTGGCACAACAACCACCACCACTTTTGCACTGGCAGTGCGATTCTTACCACTTAGCCCCCAGAGCTCCCTAGAGAATGGGTATGGGCCATATATTTAATATGGAATTCCTTCTTATTAGCATTTAGTAAACAAATGCTGGGTGTAAAGTCTGTAAAGTGAAGGTCAGGAAAAGGAAGCTCTTCAGTGAGATTGACTGACACAGTAGCAGCAACAATGGGCTCAAACAGAGCTTGGGAAGATGGTGGGGGATGGGGCAGTGCTTCATTCTGTTATATATAATCTTGCTATGAGTTGAAACTGGCATGCTTGCACCTCACAACACACTCATAGTAGTAATATTTTTCTGAATTTAAAATGTCCTTGGAGTGCAATAAATTAATCAGTTATTTTTTACTTTGATGGAAATTCCTGTTCAGGTAGTTGGGTGTGCCTTCCCACCAACTTACCTGTGAATTTTATGTGCAAGAGAAAGAAATTCCTGTCATTTCTGGAATAATTTAACCTACTGTGTTTTGGGGTCTTTTCATTACAGTAACATTGCTTGCTACTATATATGTAATATATATGTAATACATATGTAATATATATATTTTGTTGTTGTTACGTACCATC